TTTTGATGGACATAAATACTTTGTAGAACATCAAAACGGCTCATGGAATTCAATATACTGATCAAAAAATTTGAAGTTTGATCAAATATGCATCCATTCAATACTTTTTCTTTGGCAGGTGGCAAGAATTCCACTGATAGCATGCCACTCCATTGAGCTGCTGAGCCCTGCCAAGGCTATCTTTGGTTAAGCTTTAAGCCTTTCTTTGTATTAAGCTAGACCTTTTAAAAAATATTTTTAAAAGGTCTAGTAACGACTGGAACAAACAAATTACATTTGTGGGTTTCATTAGGCAAACATAATTTACTTAAATTTTTTTAAATATCTTGACCGGTCAGAAACGAGACGTGACCAAGCTAAAATCACTTTGGCCCGTCAACATGACCGGCCACGGTCCGAAAATTATTTTGAGCCCTGTACATATTTAATTGATAATTAATTATTGGTTTAATATTAATATAATGTTGACACATGTAAAAGCACTTCAAAAAGACAATAGTGAAAAAGCTGTACAGTTTTTAGTTAAGAGAACATTTTCGCAACAGAATGAAATATGCAAAGCTTGAATACCCACCCCAAGGGAGGTCACTGGTCAGGACATTTTGTAGGGAAAGGGTAGTTTCAAGAGGAAAAGTTTTTGAAAGAAAAAAAAACAAAAAACAAAAAACATAATGAACCTACAAGTAACTGGAATGGTTTTCCAGAGGTTAATGTCTTGAAATGGCTTACAGTCTTTATTCATGGTCTTGGCCCTTGTGCAAGACCTTGAGCTTCAATAAGTACTTGTATTTCTTGGCATAATTTGGACACCTAGCCAGATCATAACATAATTATTATAATGAAGTAATTGGTGGATGTCTTTTTTGGTCAGTTGGTTTGCAGGTCACTTGGGAGAGATTGCAACAGCTGGGAGACATACCTTGTGCAAGAGATGGACACACTTTAAGGTTTGCTTAATATCTCACCTCAGTTCAAATTGTACAATATTTAATCAAATTACTGGCAATCAATGCAGCCAAATGTCTTTTGTAAAGCAATCAAAATACAATTCAAAAAATAAATAAATCAGAATTATATTGGTGCAAAATGCAATTACATCATATTTATATTCATTACCATACCATGCCATAGTAAATACAGCTGATCAGAATACAGGAAAGCCATGCTTGTATAATCGATGGTATTGCACCCAACCTTCCCATCATGTGCTGCCCAGTGTATGTCCCATTGATTGTGTTGCCACTGGATTTTCTACAGTGTCTATGGCGTGGCATAAAATAGTTAATATGCAATGCTTTCTAGTGGTACACCACAAAGATACCTCTTGTCACTAGTATTTTCTTGGTATACGAACTTGCGTAAAGACTTGCAAGTGTGACTGTATTTAACAAGAAAATACAAGTGATTCGTAGGATGTAGCACTCAAAAGGGTGCATTATGACTGAATGTAATCATGTGTACATATATAATTGACGCTGTACAGGGGACTTAGTTGTGATACATGTATAGTAAAGGAGCTTTCAATCCATGCAAGCTGTTACTTCTTTGTACTTAAACAGTTATTTTCCATCTGATGAGTGAATGTTTTGTGTTCTTTACAGTGCTGTTGGTAGTGTACTATATCTATTCGGTGGTTCAAATTATCCTGAATCTGAGGAGTGCTTAGATGGATTGTATGCATATGACATCGGTAAGACCTATGCCCCACCGGGGGCTATGAGGAATGATGATGACGATGATGATGACATGAAACACGTTCCAGCTTTCCAACCCTATGATCAAAACATTATTAATATTTATTCTGGTTGCGGTACTTTGTTCCCCTGTGGAGTAACCAGGGTATCTCTAGTAATCTTCTATTCATCTGTTGATTCTTGGTTTGACAGTACTCCCTGTTGCTTAAACCACACAGCCTCATGTGGCTTTGAGGTTTTGTTAACCTGAACTGAGCTTATGTAAAGGCGATATAAGATCCCTACCTGTAGTCATGTAGTTCACTGTGTTAGAATTTCTTCCTAGGATTGTATTGTTAAGTTCCTGTGAGCAGGATTTCACAAGACATCTTACAAGACCCTTTACATGCAGTACATTCTTCAGGAGACTGTATGTTAATGCACTATTCCTAATCAGGATAATAATATTCTAAGGGATCCCAATTTGTTTATCTATGCGTGACATCCTACAAGTTGTTAACGCAATGCAACCGTCTGTGTAAATATTGTCTACAAGGGTGTTGTTATTAAACAAAGGAACAAACAAACAAACAAACAAACAGTTTCTGCTAAACTGCTTATTACAGTCTGTGATGACACTTGAACTGCGAATGCTAGAGACTTTTTTTGCACATTTTGTTAGTGACTAAAAAAGGAAGGCACTTAATAAGTATATCGTGAGTATTTGGCATGTTCGCACTGTAAAAATGCTCGAGTCTTATACATTGTACATGTATGAAGAGCCTTCATTCATTTCTCCAAAAATGAGCAAAAAATAATAGTAAGTGTTCACGGTTAGACTGTGCCCTGACTGTCATTGAATACTTACACGTACAAATGTAGTATCCTTTTACACTCAGTGTTAGTGTTTGTATTTAGAAAATAATTGGGTATTGGTTTTAATATACATATATAGCTTCAATTTCTGGCCTTTGTCTGGCAACTTTTAGGAACGCTATCATGGGAACTGTGTCCAACTCAAGGTCGTCAACCCAAAGCATTGGGTCACACAACAGCTGTAGTGGGAGATACATTGTACATATTTGGAGGAATTTACCGTGGAAATGCCACCAATGCTCTTTATATGCTTAATACAGGTACAAATAAACATTAACCAGTTGAAAATATAATTTACGTTTACACTATCTAATATTGTGATTAACATAAGCATGGTCAAGATTTGACATGTGTCTTACCAATCTGTGAGGACATCTTTAGGTGTGAATTATTTAAATGTTTTATTTGAAAATTTTTCATTTTGAGTCTCAAGAGTAAACAGCGAGATGTCACCCTTCTCAGGAGCTAGTAGTCCATTTTGTAAACTGATCTAGCTAGCTGTCATTAATTTTGTACACTTCATCCCTTGCATGAAAGTGTGTCAGGCTTTTAAAAAACTCGAAATACTTTTACTTTGACACATCTCTGCGTGTCGTGAAACAGTAACCTAGGAAGTGCTGATTGATATACACTGTAGGACGGTTTGTTTGGTTGCATGTGATAATTTTGAAGGTGAGTAATTCAGTGAAAGCAACATCTATGGTTTTGAGTTTGAAGCTTTGCACTTGCTAAAGAAAGCCATTTCAATTATTTTATAAAATGTAACACATTTAAATTTACATATGTAAACCAGTCTTAGCTATTATACATTTATATGTTGTATTTTTTTAATTTCAATTTTCTTTCGTTTAAAGTTATTTTTCTCGGTAAATTAGCATAATCTTGCTGGAGGTCTAATCAGCCTCATCAAACTGATTTGAAATAAAGTTATCGATCTATCTATGTGACACATGTTTGGATTCTTCATTTTATTGTCATAACGGTAATATATAGTTTGCTGGAGTTTTACCAAAAATAGTGCTCGAATGAATCAAAGATTTCCTGGAAGGCACACCAAAAGGTTATCAGTGACCTTAATGAAATCCCTGCCATGGCTTCGTAATGTGAATCATTTATTGTAAGTTCTTTTTTGTTGCAGGCAATTTAACCTGGACACCTCTAAAGGCCTCTGGTAATCCTCCTTCACCCAGGTAACATAACACTGAACTTAACTTTCAAATCAATCTTGTCAGCTGCCTAGTAGGCTTTCTTTTTTACGTAATATTTTTATGTAATATTTTTTAAGTGACACCTTTTAGTTTCACAGGTTTTTAGTTTAACGGAATTTGCTGCTTTGGCAGCTTGCTGGGTTATTGAACATTTGATATGTGTGTAGGAGACATGTTGGCTTAATGGTAAGAGTTCTGGATTCCAGACCAAGGGATACGGCTTCAAGCCCGTACCAGGATCACTGCATTGTGTTGATGTATTGTTTCAGATGTGATCATGCCTGTACAGTAGCTGGTGAAAAGTTCTACATTATGGGAGGAAGTGGAGGAGAGAAGCTGTGGTATAATGATGTGCATGTCTTTGATACAGGTGTGACATTTTGTTAATAAGTAATTGTTAATAGGGATAATTTTACTTAAATTTATTATTTGGTGTTTTGAAATAATCAACATGTGGATCCTCTGCACGCATTGCATGCCTGTAATAATAATAACTGATAAAGTAATACCTATTGTTATTACTTATCAGGGCCGTAGCCAGTATGAGGTAAACCGAGGCACTTGCCTTGGTCTTTTTTTTCAGTTTTGTTTTCTTGGTTTTGGAGGAGGAAAGTAAAACATTGCTAAATACCTAGGAAGAGAATATAACGATTGACAAAATTAATTGCCTCAGTCATAATGTTTTTTTCCAGCTATGGCCCTGTTTATTTTAAATTGGGGTTTATGGCTTGTTTTCAAAATTTATTTTGCTCTTAAGAATTAGTTGAAATTTATATACCTCACCATATAGTCTACTGGACTTTTTTGCATGGTCTCTGTAAGTCTGCTTCAGAGTTCAGAAAACTTGTTATCAATGTTGTACATTATTATCTCTACACTGTATTATAACAATGCTACAGTGTAGCAAAATAGTTTTGCTACTAGCATGGCTCTAGTTACCACATTTTAAGCATGGTTACAAGTATGCAAAGGCTTATTGTTTTGTGTATTCTTGCTTTCCATTGTTTTCATGCTGCAGTGACTCTGCGATGGGAAGCTGTGAATGTTCAAGGTCATCGACCACATGCCAGGAGCCTACACACGCTATGTGCACACCACAGTAAGGTACATTGTAGACTTCAACATGATTACCATGATTATTTCAATTGCTACATTTGTTTATCACATACTTATCAAGGTTGTGCATGACAGCAGTTTTCTCTTTAATGTCGTAAAACCAAAACCAGCATAATCATTCAGTGAGTAGTCAATGAAACATGACACAGATGATGCAGTGAGCCAATCACAACTCAAAGTATCTGTAGCTAGTAGCAAAGTAGCTTAAGTAATACGCACATGTGGCTGATGTAAAGTGTGCGAAAACGCATGTGAGTGAGTCACGATTGGTTTTGGTTTTACTTCTGATTGGATGAAAATGCACGCACATGGCATGTTTTTTAATCCAATTGTGTAGTGTAGTTAATGCAAAACCAATTACTTTTCAGCACTCAAATGCAAACTGCTCTTTATTTGTGCTTCAGTTGCTGACATTTTTGTCGATCTTGCATTTTTAGGATATCTACTTATTTGGTGGATCAAATGATGTAGCCAAAGTTACAACACCATTTGATGATGTGTACAAGTTTAGTTTGTGTAAGTTGTTGTTATAACTAATTTCAAGAAATTAAAAATGTTTTTTTTATTATTGTCGTTATTTTCATAATGTTAAACTGCAGCCACTTAATTTTGGAATTGGGATATATTAAACTGTACAATGTACTTTTTACCAGTTGACAAATCACTAGCTATAATCGACTAACTAAGCAACGAGTATCAGAAGTACTATATTTTCCGCTTTTTAAATGTATTTAACATTTTTATTGGCTTAACACACATTTCTTTTCTTCCAGCAAAATTAAAATGGAAGAAGCTTCAGTGTTCTGGCACTGGACCTGAGAGGAGACTGGGTCATAGTGCTGTGTTAGTTTATGGACAGGTAATGTTTTGTCTTGGAAGAATAACAGGTGGGACGGGGGGAGGGGGACAGGATGTAAGGAAGTGGGTTTTCTCAAGGGAGAAAAAAAGCCAAACATTGCTACTTTCCACGATATTTTGAAATAGAGGTTCTGCACAAAGACGCAAGAGCCAAAGGGGAACCAAAGGGGCATGAGCCAGGGGTAAAAGGTATGAGAAGCAGGAAGTTTGAGCTTCCTTGCCCCCCTCGAGCCTCCCCACCCCCAGTCTGCAGGGTAGAACGTCCAACATAGAGTTTTGCAATAACAATAGCCGCTGGACCCATTCTCCCCGAAACTCCGCCGTGAAATAGAATGGCGGCGTTTTGGGGGATATTTTCGAAACTTCGCCAGGGCACAGAAAATCGAGGATTGAACCAAATTCAATTTTTTTTCGTGGAAATACTTCGAATTACAAATAGATTTATTTCAGCGAAAAAAAAAAAACTTTTTGGGGCTAGGTGCACTTTAATACTTGAAGCCTTTGAGAGAGTACAATTATCAATACTGTGATTTTTGTTTTTCAGCTGGTAATTTTCGGTGGGATGAATGATCAGAAAGATTTTAATGACGTGTGCATTTTACAGACACGTGCTGCCTTGAAGCACCTTCCTCCAGAAATGACAGGTACGGTTTGCATGGTTCACACTAGCTAATTGCTTTTACTTTTATACCAATCTTTCATTCATGCATAAGTTACCAGCGTGAACGACGCCGAGAAGATAATGTGACAAAAAGAATTCCATTTTCTTTTGTCGTTATGACATTTAGGCCTCGTCCACACT